GCAGCAAAGTTGAGTTCAAAAAATCTAACACGATTATTGTGAATCTTCTGCATTGATACAAATCTAAATATTTATCATCCTTCCTAGTTTAATATAGGGATCAATTGAGCACGTTCTCCCGTGTGTGTAGATATAGTTCAATGGGTATTTTAGGCAAGTTAAAAACAGTTTCAAGTACTCAAAAAATTGCGCTAGTCTCTCCAGAGAGTATAGAGTAAAACAATTGCAAAATCTAAAAACCAGTTTCGAAGAGAAAAAAAAACAGACAAAATAATCATTACTAGTGGAGCAATTCTGCCTTAAAAAAATATGCAAATTTGCACAACATTCAGATATGACAGGAATCAAATTTTTTTTAGATACTAAGCTAGAACATCAATTTTGTGGTAACTCCCCACCTTAGAAACAATGCTTGCTCAAACAAAAAAAAACTTTTTTCTAAACTTTTTTCTGAACGAGTAACAGAAAAAAAATAAATCGATCAAAATCTTGTGTACTATTTATTCACCTATAACCTACTGATGTTTTATCAGTCATCACGTAATGTATTACCGTTATTTGGGCGGTCAAGGAGATTGTTCAATTGATATTCATTATGGATTTCTAATATAATTTGATATTCATAAAATCAAGTTTGAAATGTAACTGCAATTTCAGTTCAATTTTTAAATTGTTGTATCAGCGAGTGTTTTTTTTGATAATTATTTAATCTTTTTTTCAACAAAACTAACAATCAGAAACAAACAATCAGAAGTTGATTCGGGGGCAAAATTTCAGCAACAAAATTAACAAACTTCAATTTTACAAGTTAAGATAAACCGTTCTTTCTTTGACACCCAAGGAACAAAATTTAAAAAAATTTGAAAATTTTTGGGTGATTTGGATGATCGTGTATATTTTAGCGAAAATCGTTTTTGATTCATTACCCAGGTTTAACCATTTTACTGAAAGTTCCCCTGTCTTGAAACTTTTTACACTATTTACACGGAATTTTTGCTATCTTACAACTTTCTTGCAAGAAAAGTCTAAGATAGCCATATAAAAAAGTTCATTTTAGAAAAATAAATAAAAAATTACCAGATTAATATTGAATGTGTTTCTATATCGTAATTACGCATAGAAGTTATTTTTTGAGTTTTTTCAATTGATTCAGCATTTTTATATGAAAAATGTTATGTATTTTGAACCAAAAGTTTCGAAACAAAAGAGACTCATGTGACGATTTGTTTAATTGGACTAATGAGTTTTCAGTATTTCACTCTGCGGCAACGGTGAGTTTTTGTGCTGGTTTTGGTTATCAGAAAATATAATGTGTTTTATTGAACAAAAATTTTTTTTAGGAAATCTTCTATCTGACAATTTTCTTAGAACAATTTTAAACGTTTTTGTTTTAATCATTTTGTTTGTTTTATATCACCACGACTTGAAGATGTTTTGATTATTGGCCTTCTATGTGACGAGAAATAGGATAAATGGGTAGTAAACTCTCATCCGTTTTTTCTTGATACATGCTCGATAGTTGGCTGGACACATACATTTTTAAGCCAAGACACTTGATCTTAAAATTATAAGCCATTAGCTGGCACAGGCCTATTTAAATATTTACGCATGCTTGTTTTGTAAAATCTTGTGCTTGGAATGTAAGAAAAACTCGTTTCAAAATAGTGTTTTATTCCACTATTTGTGACTTTTTTTAGGTTGACTAAATTGATTTTCCAAGCTCTCCCCAAGCGGTAAAAAGACCCTGATTTGGCCAAATTATCTGCGCAATATGCAAAATTTTGAAAAAAAAGCCGAAAAACGTTTCGAGGCACTTTTTCTACAATTTTGACCGTAACATTGCGTTTTTATCGGCGCGCGCTTCCCCCTCAAAATTAGTAAATATTGGCGCCTTTAGAAAAATTTTAGGGTCCATCGACCCAAAGTGGATATATCAAATTAGTTATATCAAACGCTTTGGGTTGGCAGGGGGTCGAATCCCTGAAAAGGAGCGTCCGCACCCCCCCCCCCTTAAACCCGCTGGTGCCATAAGCAAAATATCTGCGCCATAAGCAAAATTTTGAAAAAAAACAGGCCAAAAAAACAATTCGAGGCCCTTTTTGGAAAATTTTGCCACTAATTAAGGTTAACGATGAAACACTCAGATATAGCTGTTTGGTTTTGCTAAGGTTTGACCAAAGTGAAAAAGATTTTAATATAAATTGTTTATTGGGTTCTTGGGTTCACCAAAAACTTTAAACCAAAAGTCCAAATATTGAAAATATATGCTGCCAAGTTTCAAAATGTTGCACGCTTATTCGCGGTTTAATTAGATTTTGGAAAACTTTGATTTAGAGCGTTCATTTAAGAACTTTCTTTGAAATATGTTAGAACGAAACTGAAAAAACTGAGGCTGTTTTTAGTTGTACTATTTTTTAAAATCAGCTGTCATAATTTGATTTTTGTTGGTCATAGTTTGATTTTTGTTATAATTTGACATCATAATTTGATTTTTGTTCATCGTCTATCATAATTTGATTTTTATTCGTCGTCTATCATAATTTGTTTTTTGTTCGTCGTCTCAAACAAAATTATCTTGTATATCACATGAGTTTAATATAATGTATTCTAAACCATTCTAAGTTATTTAATTATACATTCGCTAAAGTACCGGTGGAGTTATTTGGGTAAGTTATTTGGGTAAAATTGTAAATTTAGTTTCACATATTTTCTTAGTTTGCTTTCATTTTGCTAAATTTCATTAATATCCAGTGTTCGTGATGAAGCAATTCTGCATCTGTTGTTCACATCAAAAAATATTATAAATCTACAATTTAAATTAGTAGGTTAGTTTGAGCTATTCAGCTGGTTTTGTATCTTATCAAAGATATAAGTGCTATGTTTTTCATATGTATTTTGAGAATTTTTTAAAAAACTTCTTTAGTAAAGTCATTTTTCGCCTTCTTAAATTGCTTTTCTTCAATTACTTTTTTTATGCAGCGAAGATATCGAAGCTTTGATTGAAGCTCTTTTTTGTTTTCAGGCTAAAAGAATTAGTTGAAATGCCATAAGCACCCAAAAGTATCTCGGGTTAAATTAAACATCAGGGATACGGTTACTATTCCGAGCATGTCATAGCCAGGCGCAAATGATACCAACCCTAGGGGCGGCCCTAACATCTATCATTCTTCACCGATACGATCAGTTTGATAACAATTTTGGGAAGTATTTTCTGGGTCGTGATTAAATAGAAACACGCTGTGGTGCATATCAATGGGTTCCTGGAAACTATATATGGTGCAGCTGAATACTTAGAAATACTTGGTTTATAGAAATAATGGTTGTGAAGGGTAAGGTAGCGTGATTTTTCACCTAAAACAAAACAGAATTCGGAACCAGCAGCGGACTAGAATTAATTCACTTAGGCTCCATTAGTCTTAAATCGAGACATTAAGACTGCTTTCGTTTCGATTTTTAAATTCTCTCAGGAAAAGAACCAAGATAGAGCTATACTTTACTGGGGAGTAAAATTGATATCTCGCCAAATTGCTCGGTTTTTCCTTCAATTCTGTGCTTTCTTTTTTTTTGAGATATAATAGTTTTGCCGGGCAATTCATTGATTCAAGTGAAAGTGACCATCACTACAATTGACTATTCATTTACTTTTCAAACATAAATGCCAACCCACCACCCCCTCAGTTGATTTCTAATATTTTGCAAAAGGTCCCCCTTAGTACTACTTTTCGACAACCTATTCTGGCTAAACGGCTCTAAAGTTTTCCAGATGAGATTTTAAAATGTTTTGAAGATTTTGGCTATCTTTTTATAAGATCGACCAAATTGACTTTTGCAGTTCTCATAAAAGTTTTTTAAAATCTAAAATACCATGATGTCGATCTGCGCCTAAAATTCCCTTTGTAATATTTTTGAATGTCTTGATTTATAGCATACAAGAGCGCCTATTGAAACCCTGTCCTTAAATTTTTGAGCACGCGGAATCATCTGCAGCCATTAAGCTAACACTTTCTATTTTCCTTCCAAAAACAGTTTTTACTTTCAAAGAACCGAACAGGGGAAGCCAAACGTAGCGCTACTGTTTCCCAGTTGAAGTTCATGATCAGTGTAAATTTCCAAAATTAGGTTTGGACTTAACTTCTTAATTATCTTCATTTTTTAATCTTGTGTTAAACACTATGTCTCAGCTCCCAGTTGTATTTTAGTTCAAAGGTATAATGTCGGCTGCAAGTAATTCAATAATACCAGACCATATCGACCATTATAATATGTCCAGTTTAAATAATACGGATCAAGCGAAACATCTTTTTTCCGCTTTTTTGTTCTCATCTAATTCAATTTCTTCAGATGTCTGGCTACTCTTCTCTGGCAAATAAGTCGGTAACAAAACAAAGAACAATTTACGATCCAGCTTCTAAGAGCAAAACCTGAAGATTTAACATTTACAGCATAACGACCATTATGAAAAATAGCTAAATTTTTTATTGAAAAAATTTTAAAAAAGTTTATTAGCCGGTTCTTATATCTGAAATCGAGCCAATAAAATCGCTCAGAAGCTGTTGTAAAGTAAGCTATGGTGAAAGTCAACAACTTTTTTGTTTTTCCACTATTTGCCTCCCTTTTGTTTGATTAAACGGTAATTTTTTTTACTTTGTCTGAATATAGCTCAAGCTCAGACTTTGAAGGCATGGAAATAAAAACTTTCTGATTTATTTCATATTTTATAACTTTGAAAAGAGGGCAAGTAGTATTTTAATTAACTTTTAATTTAAAATCAATTATCTAGTTTACACGACAATATATCACTATCAGAAGCTTCAAACTAAGGATCTTGCTACCTTTTTTTGCCCATTATTTGCAATAGGGGTGAATTTCGTAACTAAGTACAACTTTTATATACGATTAACCGCTGAGTTGGTCCTTATTGGGGGCGTCAATTTGCTATTAGGTACGGTAGGGGGGATGGGCGGTGGTGGGGGTGGTTAGGGGAACAGTTAACAAGATCCCTTATTAAATAGGCTTACAACTTCTTAGGGTTTGTTTATTTTGATTTCAGACGTCTGGTAATAAAATACCTGGACTCCAGTTTGCAAATTGCCATGGCATTATTTACAGACGAATGGGAGGTTCTTACCAACGCTTCGTAGGGCAGGTTGATTTTAAAACCATAAAGTTTAAGTCTTAGCGACTATTTCTTACTTGTTTTTTATTTCTCTGTTTGGCTTTAAAGTCTAATTATATCGATCTCTCTTGAGTACAATTTGATCTTGAACACAATTTCGCCCCGTGGCGCTTTGTCAAAAATTTTGGCAATTTGTTACATTCGTCTTATCGCGATTCCTAGCTGGAATTTTCTGGACTCAATATACGATATGTGAGTATAACTAGAATTCTAGAATTTTACGACCACAAATAATGTTTCAAAGAGTCATATAGTATGAAAAAAGCAACAAAACTCACCAAGTTTCAAAAAAATTCTATTTTTTTTCACAATTTTAATTAATTAAAAATTGATAGAAACAAACCTTGCTTGAAAATTGCAATATGACCGTATATTTGTTCCCACTTTCGAAGAAAATGAGGAATACATTTGTTTGGGCTGTTTTTTTATTCTGACCATTTTTACAAAACTCTGGTCTCGCGGGTGATCAATCTTTTGATCTGCATGAGTCCAGCCGAGAGTGCAGACCATTATAGGAACATTTCATAAGTATGTTTAACACTTTTTGTTTTATTATCCCCCACTACAAAAATCGTTCCAAATTGAATTGAGGCAGCTAATTGGTGTTATTAGCTCCATATACGACTGAAACTGCAACACTTCATTTTTGATGTTATCAGCTTAAAGTTCATAGTTTTGCCAATATTTAATTTACCAAAAACTATCCGAGACCAATTAACGGGCAGTTGAATATTCAGGGCTTTGCACTGATACGAGCAGTCTTTTTTGTTGCATATGCAAACGGGGCCTAAATTTGAAATCACATTTTCGATTTTTGCTCAAACTTGTGTTGGAAATGATCGCTGCACTTTAAGGTCAATAAATAATTACAAAAAAAAATAAAAAAATGTTTCAAGTTTTTTAAATAGTTTTTTTCTCCCCACACGCTTTCTAAAGAACAAGAAATGTTTTTAATGTCTCGAATTCTTTAAAAGGCAACGAAATGCTTTATTTCAATTCAGTTACACTGCAATTTAATTATCACAATTTGGCCAAACAAGAAGGAAAACATCAAATTTCAGCCATCGTTGTATACAATTAATCACTTTTGATCAATTGTATAAATTGTAAAAAACATTTTATTAAGACAAAATTGCTTGTATCAGTGCACAACCCTGAAATTTTTGACTGCATTATTAGTTTTACAGAGTAGCGTTGATTCGAAAAACGAAAAAAAAACTTTAAAAAATGAGAAAATTTCCATTTTGTTTTTCATTAATGTTGAAAATCATCCCCCGCACACTATGAAAAGTATAAAGTGAGTTATTTTGCAATTAAATTGTCTAAATAGTGTGCCTCAATTTATTTTGGAACGACTTCTAGGACGAACTAATTTAATTCTTCGCTTATTATTGGCACAAATGAATCGCGCTTTAATTGTCTCAAATTCGCAATCTTTAAACCATCATAATTTCACAAAAAACTCCAGGCGAATTATATTTTAAAATTTGAGCTCAAAACAACAATTTTTTTGAATGATACAAAAAAATTTCCGCCAAAATTGCTATTTGAAAAGTTGAAATTTGTCCAGAGAAAAAACACCCCGAGAACAAATATTCCGTCATTTTCTTCTAGACAGCTCTAGTGGTAAATTATAAACTAAACTGTCGTCAAGGCGCCTGTAGAAAAATTGGGTGTCACAAAAAATGACACAATTGTGTCTATTTTGCGACGCATAATTTTTCTATAGGAGCCTTGGCGACAAATGAGAACCTTAGTGTGGCGAGGGTGTTCAAGTCTGATGGGACAATTGTGACGTCGGCGTATGGTATGGCATCGGCGAATAATATAGTATGAGCTGAAGATTCTCTGCTAAGACAGCCTACTTGTGTCAAAGCAGGTGACGATAATACTGAGATAGGGGCTGCATAAAATAGCAGATAGATCAAATAGCAATAAACTTTTATTAGCTTAATTAACGTCTTATCGCGGACTTTTTGTTACTAAATTTTCAAACCTGAAAGATCAATACATATCGTGGTTCTGAAAAAACTGTATGAAAATTTGGGCATGACCATTTAGTGGCAGATGCATGAATAAGTATTCATTTTCGTTATTATTCTCAACAGAAACCTGAATAAAAAATAAGTTAATTCTTTTTTTTTGCGCTCTGTTACAGACAATTTTTTAAACTAAGATAAGAGATCGGTGGCCGGAATGTTGTGAATAGTATTAGTATCATGAAATCTGATTGACTAATATGTAATTGAACATCTTTTCAAAATGTTCAAAAACTTTTATGCTATTTTATCTTTCTGCTAAAATTACTGTCCCCATTGAGATATTCAAATCAAGTGGAAAACCTACTCCAATTTATGCGCACCAGCGAGTATTTTTCTGCTGCTAGCAATCTAAATATTTGTAAATGGAATTTCTACGAAAATGCCTCTGAAAGAACTTCATCAGATTATATAAGCTTGAATATCTCTTTCTAAACTATCTTCAGGCTTTTACCGCTTCAAAGCCTGTCAAATATTGCGTTTCAATTCACAATATCTTCCGTCGTTCACAGTCGAAGTAATTTTCCTTGATACTCCTTGGTTTAAATTATTGCCCAGTTGAACACAGTCGAAACATTAACAACTTTTCGAACCAAAAATTCTGAGCTGTGACCGATATTAAAAAGGTTTTGTAAACCGCGGCCAAGTTTTTGTTTTAACTTTTTAGCGGTTTGAGAGAGCTTGGAAAATAACTTTGGTCAAGCTAAGAAAAACCTACATTAATTTCAAAAAAAGTTTTTGAATAAAATCCATATTATATTGATAAATTTTCACGCCTCCCTTGATCTTTCTCCGCATTTGCTCAAAAATCTCCCGCACAGATTGGTTAAATCTTTTTTCCCAGCGCAGTTTTAAATGTTTTCCAAAATATGCCAATTTTGTGCTTAGCATCAAATCTCTTTAATTTTGCAAAAGGGAGGAAATAGTTAAAAAGATACCGTCAAATTTTCAATATAATCTATTGTCGATTGTTATTCGTGCAACTCCAGAACGCCAGAACGAGCACCACACTGAGCCAGATTTACAATTTATTTATAAAACAGTTTATAATAAAAATAAACTCTCAAAAATTTACATTAGTGCAATTTGTTTACTTGAGATTCAACTGAATTCCAGAACCCCGTGATGGTTTAGAACGTCAATCTATTTCGGAAATTATCTGTTTTTTGTTTTTAAGTTTTGATAAGCTTATATGGAACCATCGCAACCTTCAAAGGGGTTTTAGCTGGTTAAATAAGTTCAAGCATTGCATATGAGTTGGGTTATTTTACTTGGTTTGGTTTCTAATAAGGAACAAAAGGGGTAATAATTAATAATAATAATTGTATTTCCTGCGAATCGCAGAGGAGCTATCAGTAGGCCTTACCAGTCCTGTCGAGGATAGTCCATTTGCATTATCTCCCCTCATTCCAGACAGTGTTATTTTGCTGAGTGAAGCTGTTATTTGTGACTCAAGGCCGTTTTTTTGCGTCTAGAACTTGGTATCACTATTGCAGCCAAATTTGGTCAGGTTCGGGTAGACCTGAAGCTGGAGGTCAAGTGAGAGCTTGTCCTCACACACTATCATAGCCATGACTTGGGATCGAATACACGATCTGACGATTTTAAAGTAAACGCCTTACCGCTGTGCTAAGTGCCTATATTGCCTAATGTGTATCATTTGACTATTTAAAGGGAAAGTACTTCAAATTAGATGTATTTAATTTAGGAGGCATCAGAGACCAATAATATAGTTCTTGAGAACAACATAAAGACATAATCTCGAATCAAGGCAAAGTCATCAATATTCCGACTGCCGTTTCAATGTCTTAAGGCCGATAAAATTAAATTTTATATGGTAAAACTTAAGTCTTGAAAATTAAGACGACCAATAAGCTTGCCTCAATTCAATTTGGATTGATTTTGCACGCGGGCTAATTCTCCACCCTTAAAAAGTTCGCGCTACACTTTCTGCATCAATGTCTACTTTGAACAGGTTAGATAGACTCGGTTCACCTTGCAAAGTCAAGGGCGCATAGTGGTGTGCGTGCTAGGCAATCCACACTTAGGTACAGAGATCGAGCCCCCAAATGAACTAAAATGGTTTAAAAAACCCCAAGTATAAATCTTCCTCATATCTTCCATGCGTGCCGCTTACCATGCGCAATTAAAAGAATGAGTCTCTTTGATGCGGCACGCATAAGTTTGAGTTTCAGTTGCTATATAAGAAAATTAATTCATCTCAAATTGGGCTAAGGGCAGCATGCCAAGCGGGACGCATGTAAGTAGGAACACCAACACTAACACTCGTAGCTGTCATAAAACATCAAAAATATTTCGGGTAAGTTTTGAAAATTTTGTAAAACTTGAAGTACATAGAACTCTCTTTAGAGGAAAAATAAAACAAGATAATTAAATGATGCAATAATTTGTCGCCGGATCATATGCCTTTTTTGATTGGAAATTTAAGTAATGCGCGAGATAGTTTTATGAACTTTTGTTCTCCATGTACATGTTTTATTGACAAAAGCAAGTGTGACTGTATCATCACGGCAAAGCCGTATATTTTCCAACTACCCTTTAACCTGTCTAAAATCCTGTAATATTAAAGTAGTTTTAAATTTTGAAATTTATTTCAGATTTCATTTGCAGAACATTGATGAAATACTAAACTTACAAATTGTTTTTTTACCATTTCACACTTAAAATTTACTTTTAAACTTATTAAAAGCCAAAATGAAATTTTCTACATTTTCGACTGAAGTTTTTGTAGTTGAATATCATTGGCTACTAATAGCCAATCAAATTCAAGCAACAC